TTTTGAAAGAATATATTATTGAATAATAGATTGATGAAAAATGTGTGGTTAAAAATGAAGGAAAAATTATTGATGTGATGAAAAATATTATTTTATTGAAAAATGTGTGGTTGAAAATGAATAGAAGAATAAGAATGAAAAAAATAATGGATACCAAACATGGCCTAAAGCAAACTATTTCATTGATATAAATAGTCCATATAAGTGCATGGAGGTACATAATTGGATGACAGTTGTGTTACATGTTTTGTCGTTCCAAAAATTGTACTTCCTCCGTCCCAATTATATAGGCTGAATTTTATTTTTCTCTTGTCTCAAATATACATACATGTTTCTTAATGTGAAATATTTTGTTGTGTTTTTTTATTAATATATCCTTATTAAATTTTCCCCACTTACAGTATGTTTGAGACACATTCTTTTGAAAGAATGTATTATTGAATAGTAGATTGATAAAAAATATGTGATTAAAAATGAAGGAAAAGTTATTGATGTGATGAAAAATATTATTTTATTGAAAAATGTGTGGTTGAAAATGAGTAGAAATATGAGAATGAAAAAAATAATGTGTACCAAACAGGAGCTTAATATACCAACTTCTTGAAATCATCCAAATACACACATTTCACACTTTTTGAAAATATGGAACAACTCTCATTTCTTCTTCTTCTTCTTTAAATTCTTTATTAATTCCAACAATAATTTAGTTTACATACTGGAAATTAAATAGGGGTAAATTAGGAAAGATCCTGACAAAAATTAATTTTCCAATAACATTAAAGAAGCTTTCTTGATCCATGTGAAAAACGAAACAAGCCTATATAATTAGGACGGAGGAGTATTATAGAAGTGTAACATTTGCCGAATATTAATAAATTAATTAGAACTCAAAGGTCACTAATCCATTTTCTTTCAGAATATATTTTTATAAAATTTCTTTTCACGTTTTCAGTTTTATCAACTAAACATATTTTGGGCTCAAATTATCTTGTACGAGATGTGAACCAGACTTGTGGCCCAAACCTAAAAATCTCAAAAAACATATAGTCCAGTCCATATATTTTCATTTTATCGCATCGAATAAATATAAACATAAAAAAAAAAAAGGAAAATTTCTCCTTTTCTTTAGCATGACTGCTATAACTACGATCATTATGTATTACAGTTGGAAATTGGTTCAAAGAGCCGTGAAATATATAAAGTCAA